GGGGAAATCAACATGGGTTCATCAAAGGCAGGTCCTGCCAGACCAACCTGATGGCCTTTTATGACCAGGTAACTAAATCCCTGGATGATGGTGTTGCCATGGACATAGTCTTTCTGGACTTTAAGAAGGCCTTTGACACCGTCTCTCACCCCATTCTCATTAATAAATAGAGCGACTGTGGCATTGACTCCTACACAGTTGGATGGGTCAAAAATTGGCTGATGGGGCGCACCCAGAGAGTGGTGGTGGACGGGTCATACTCAACCTGGCGGGATGTAAATAGTGGGGTCCCCCAGGGCTCAGTCCTGGGGCCTACACTGCTCAGCATCTTCATCAGCGACTTGGACAAGGGGGTGAAAAACATGTTGTCCAAGTTTGCCAATGACACCAAGATGTGGGGAGAGGTAGGCATGCTCGAAGGGAGAGAGAGACTGCAGTTAGATTTAGACAGACTACAGAAGTGGGCGGATGGTAACAGGATGGGGTTCAATGTAGATAAATGCAGGGTGCTGCGCCTGGGGAGAAGGAATCCACAGCATACATACAAGCTGGGGAGCTCCCCCCTTGTGAGCACAGAGGCGGAAGGGGATCTTGGAGTCATTGTTGAAGGGCAACAGGGCAGGCCCTATGAGGAGTGGCTGATGGACCTGAACCTGTTCAGGCTCAGCAAGCGGAGGCTGAGGGGGGATTTCGTGGCTGCCTACAAACTTGTTAGGGGAGATCAGCAGCAAATAGGAAGGGCCTATTCCCTATCAGCAGCACCTGGGGTGATGAGGAACAATGGCCAGAAGCTGCTGGAGAAAAGGTTCAAGTTAGAGACTAGGATTTCACTATTTCACTGTTAAGGTGCCTAGGATCTGGAACCAACTTCCTAGGGAAGTGGTCCTCACTCCTACCTTGGGTAAATTCAAAAAGAGGTTGGACGAACACCTGTCTGGGGTTGTGTGATCCCTTCGTGTGCTCCTGCCAGTGGCAGGGGTCAGACTAGATGATCTGTTCAGGTCCCTTCTGACCCCAAACTACTATGAAACTATATTTTAAAAAGTAGCCAGCTTGAGTGGATCTTCCTTCTCTGTAGCTCCACTGGCCATCATATATATATGGTGAAGCTCTGCTTAAATTTCTTCCAGTTTTTGCTGCATTGCTAGACAGCTTTAACTCCTCTGGAATTCTAAGGTGCTCCATTTTTCTGTCTTTCTTCACACCCCACTTCTGGTACCAAGTGTTTATTCTCAAAAGACCAAGGAGGTAAACTTATAGAATGATAAAGCTTGTTTTTTCAGAGAGCCTACTGATCTGCTGTTCCCTCCAGTTCTCTCCTGCAATCCCTGGGCTAATGTAACAATTTATACATAACACTTTTAAACGTATGCACACAGAGGTTACCTAATTCCACAGACACTCTTTGGAGGTTATATAAGAGATGTGGCTGAACAAAAGGATTCCAAAGCATTCCCTGCTCCCTAACAGTTCCTAGATACTGCAGGCCAAAGTCTACTCTAACGTACAGAAAGGGACCAGACCAGCGCAAGACCAGATGAGTGCAGTAGCAGAAATGAGTCATTTCTTTGCTCTCACACAGGCATGCACACATACAGATGATCCTTTGTGAGTTTTGTGGTACAAATTAAGGACTGGAATCACATTTTTAAGATGGGATTTTAAGATTTAAAAAGTCCCTTTTTAAAGATAAGATAAACCTGACTCTCCCTTTTTTAGATACAGAAGAATGTATATGTTGAATTGTTAACTAGAAAATTTCACACACAGGAAATTAATTCAAGCAAGCATGTAGAAATGTTTTAAATTCTTGCAAAACAAAAACCACAACACAGTCCACTGTTAAACCACCTATGCTTATACAAATGGTTCTAGGCCCCTTATTTTGGTTACGCGGTCTCATTGTTCAAGAGAGGGTGGTGCCTGGACTAACAAGAATATTTTAATTGGGAACTGGAATTCTAAAGAAGCACTGAAAGCAGACATCTGAGGGCTCTGAGGCTGGAGTTTCAACACTGATTCTGTCATATATTAGTTTCTCTAATATATTTGTAGTTCAGAGCAAATAATTGTCTTACATGGTGACTAAGGAATCATTTTCTTCTTTCCAAGAGTGTTCTTAGAAGCCAGATGGCACAAGTTTTGGAAGCAATACATATCTGTTCTGAAGACGAGGACAGAATTTAAATAATTGTAGTTGTACAGGAAGGAGCAACCTATTAAACAGTATATACAGTTCTCCCACAAATGAAGAGAGCAGTTAATTTTTGTTCTGTTAATACTTTCATATTCTTCTGTTACCATAAGCATGAAGACATGGCTAACGAACCATGGACAGAATCTGCATGGTAAATTAAATGGGCTTGCGATGAGGACATTACTGTTACTGCTGTTTTTAAACTATAGATATGGCATCCTTAGATTTAACTGGTACTGTGGAAATCAAATTTTCCAACTCTCATGATATTGGTGGATTTCCTAAAGCCTCAGCCCCTCAAATCAGGTGATAATGAGAGTCTCCCAGTTTATATTGTTTTAATGGAAAACTACAGAGAAGAGCTTAAATGTGTGAAGCCAATGAGCACTAAAACCAGAGGACAAACAAAAAAGACCCCAATTGTATTTTATTGTTGTTGTTAATCTCATGATTTTTAAACCAGTTGCATTTTGCTGAGCTGGGAGCCAACTACTGAGTCATGTTTGGCAATACTGGATTGTTGTGTAAGTTGACTGAAGTCACTGATTAGCTGTAATGAACTAACAGGCACTGGCCAAATCCCTGGTTAATAAATTCAGGATTTGGCTCCAGAAAGAACCTCAAGTCTCTTTGGAAACAAAAAGTAGGTTTCTATGAAACCTCTTATGTGGAAAGCATAACTTTGATTGGGATGAATTTGATAGAGGAGTGGTTGGCAGGACCAAAAATCCCTCTCATACAACATTTATTTAAAATGAATGAGTTGAATTTGGAGTTAACACTGCAAGCCTTTAAGACATCCTGCACACACAAGCCATGTGGCTTTCAAGAAGCCAGATATTTGTGGGCAGAAATTTGTTGAGTTTGGTAGGCTAAGGAGCAAAATTCTTCTGCAAAGACTCAGGTCAAAATTCTAGCCTCAGGTCCCTGATTATGACACGTGCAGCTTCCAAGAACCAGAGGTTTGGCTTGTTCCATATTTTCATTCATCAAAGGGGCTGATTCAAGGACAGACTGAAGGAAGCAGCTCAGTAAAGCTTACCAAGGCCTACACATGACAGGACTGCTCTGGAGGAAGGTAAATATTAATGGGAATAATTATTCACAAAGATTTTATTTGAGATAATTTTTCAGTATGCCTTTGAGGTGAACATCTATTTTTTTCTTTGTGGAAAGTTCTTTCCATAAACACAATAGGCAAATATGAGGTTGATGCTGCAGCCTATGGAAAACCTCCACCTCAGTCGCTTAAAAAACCCAAGCTTTGCATAGCCTTAAGTGCAGACTATATCACAGAGCTAGTTCAAAGGGCTGTAGGGACAATTCTGATCTTTGTATGTAATGAGACACAAAACATTGTCTTAAATGGGCAGAACTGAGCTAACTTTAGTTTGATGGTCAGGGTTGTGTGACTCACAACGGTAAAAGGAAATTCCACTGGTAATCAAGAAAATCAGCCCAAAGCACTTAAATGTTTCAGGGGAGACTCTACCTGTCAATGAATTAATATTCTTAAGGTAACCAGTAAAAACCTCATGTTACATCTTAAAATTGTTAAGCACATCCAGATGAAACCCAAACTAAATTTTGGATATAGCCATTTGAAATCTCAGCTAAAAATGAAAGATAAAGTAAGAACTGAGAGTAGTTTCCAAAATGAAGAAAAAAATAGGCATCACTAGACACTGCCTTAGGCATCTTGAGAGAGAGGCTACAGATGGATACAAATGCACATTACAGCAAAATTCAAAAAGAAATTGGGAACACACCCCAGTCTTGTAAAGATGGGACAATAATGTGGTTGGTTTCAGACCACCTAAAAAGGTCTGGTATAAAGGCTTCTTATAGAGTCCTGTTAACACTGAAAGTATGATAAATTTGTGGTACTTATAGGAAACTGAAACACAATGTATTAATAGCACATAAAATAGGGTAATCATTGTTTATCTGTGTAAGACACAGCTGAGTTATGATTCACTTATGGATATTAGTAAAGAAGAAAGCTGTTTTAGTTAAACTGGGTCTAGGTGGGGGGCATGTGCGCATGTATACACACATACACGGTTAATCAGTGGTTTTCTGTAAGTGAGCTCTGTTATGATACACTTCTGTATGTTACTAAAGAAGGAAGCTGTTTTAGTTAATAAACTGGGCCTAGATGGTTGTGTGTGTGCATAATGAGAGAGAGAGAGACAGGCAGACCAACAAAGTGAAACTCTTTGGAATCAGATCTTCATAGAATTTGGGATCTAAAGCCCTGCCTTTCTCTCCTCAAGAATCTTTGGATCTTAACATCGTACTCATGTCCATCCCTATAAAAGACTAGAAAATATGGTGGCTGGGGAGGGAGGGAAAGGAGAAAAGCCTACCTTGGAAAAGGAAATGTTGGTAGGAAAGACTGATGACTTAAGATCTTTTCCATTGTTCATGTCTGATTCCTCCTCCTCCAAACCATGTTTGGCTGTGTGATGAGATACATATCTGATATCGGCTTTATTTTCATTCATTTTGTTTCATTGTTAGAAACAAGCTGATCTTTTAAAACTGCTATGGGGATGCTGCAGGGATGAGGCCAGTCCACCTTCCAAATGATGCATGTAGCTACAGTGTCTCACTTTGCTGCTACAAATACTTCAACCCTCAGATCAGTCATGTTCAAGCTTCTCTATGAAAACATGGGTGACTCTTATGTGAAGTCTGACATGACTATTTGGATCATCCTAGATGCCTTTTCTGAGTTTTGGGAGTAGACAGTGTAAGTATGTAAACAGATTTCTATACCTTTCCATCTTCTTTTTCTTACCTCTGTTTGAACAAGTCTTCCACATCCTTGCACATCTTTCTCCCATCAAACAGTCGCTGTACAAGCACTTCATAGCCAGTGTGGACTGTAAATTCCTTGCACTAAAAAGGCACAGACAAGTGGCTCTGTAAGTTTATGAGCAGACATCGCTCCCAAAGACCTAAAGTTGTGAAGTTGTACCAAGCAAATTAGTTTGGAAGAGAAAACCTCCCACCTTAAACTCTATCTAGAGTTTAAAGAAATGATTCTGATATCTGAACAACTTGCTTTTCCTGCTGTTACTAGAAAAGATCGAAGTGCTTACATACCATGAGAGAGCCTGTTTTCATGGGATGTTGCTCCTCTGTTGAGCAAAAGCAGATGACCAAGACTTTGTGGGGACAGCAGTGAGGACATAGAGTCTGGGACATACCCTAAGTACTACTCCTAAATCAACATTATATCTACATATTAGGTGTTAGGAGTGATATCCTGGCTCCACTGGAGCTGTCTCTGTAATTTATTTTGGGGTTTTTTTTAAAGTACTTTAAGCTCATCAAGTTCATCCACAAACCTCACCATTTTTCAAATGTCTTGGACCCTTGCCTTCCAACCAGAATTACCTTTGTCAAGACTGGAGGAATCATTTGGAAGACTCTAGACTCTTGAGGTTTCAACCTGGCTTCTGGCTGCTACTGACTTGGGAGAATGGAACCAGACCTCAGGGGTGAATGTTACAGACCAGCTAGTAGCAGCTGCAGTTCTGAATGAAGGATTTTTTCAGTGGTGCTAAGAAGCATTGCTTCTTTGACTAGGAAGTTTTTTGTTTTCCCCAGTGCTAAGTTTAACTCTTAGGGTTAATCTACCATTCATACATTTACAAACTTCCAATGCTACAGCTTCCTGACAAGAGCAACTCCTTCCTCTCTCATTGAAAACTTACCATCAGCACTGGGATGAAGGGAATAGTAAGAGGCATATAACTGCCCATAGACATAAGCTATCAGCAAAAATGGGCATTATGGAAACCAAGGTAAAGTAATAGCATAGATGGACCAGGGATGGTAGAATCACCAATATCATTAGTGTGCAGCCATAAGAAAATGAAAGATCTTGATATGCCCATCTGATTGTCATAGTAGATCCTCACTTAATGTTCCCAGGGAAAAGTTACATATGCTGTTCCCTATCAGAGTTACTGCCATTAGGGCTGTGCGAAGCTTCAGTCCCTAATTCAATTTGGTGGGGATTTGGCCCGATTCAGTGGCTGAATCGCCGAATCTGAATCGGAGGAACCTTTAACCTCTCTGAATCGAACTGGAACCCTCTGAATCAATTTGGAGAGATTCGGAAAGATTCAGAGATTCGGACATAGAGACAGCTTTAAATGTTTTTTCTGTATACCTCTGGGTAGCAGGGGCTCGTGAATGCTGCGATGCTGGGGCGCATGGAGCCCCAGAAGAGCCGGGGGGGGCTCCCCAGTGCACTTGGCAGCAGACCCAGAAGTGGACCAGAAGCATTTCTGGTCCACTTCCAGGTCTGCAGAAGGGGCCCCCTGCACTCTCCTTGGCTTGGCAACTGGTGCCTCCTGGGTCTGGGGCAGGGCAGCCGGGGTCCCTCTGTGGCTGATCACTGAGCTGGGGGGGCGCAGGGGGGCTCCCCAGCATGCTCCCTGGCAGACCTGGAAATAGACCAGAAGTATTTCTGGTCCACTTCTGGGTTTGCTGCCAAGTGCATGGAGGGGTCCCCCTCTTCCCCCCCCCCACTCCTGTGGGATGCTCCATCCACCCCAACATTGCAGGAATCACAAGCCACCCTGGTAACTCAAGGTATGTAGAAAAAACAAAGCTGTGTCTATGTCCGAATCGCTGATTCTTTGAATCAGCATTGAATCTTCAGATTCTGATTTGACCAAATCGAAGCAGGGACAGTGATCCAAATCAACAAATTGAATCACTGTGCCTGATTCGGGCTGAATCCGAATTGAATAGGGCATACTTCACACACCCCTAACTGACATTATGGTCTGGGGAGAATATTTTGCAACCTCAGATCTACCAGTCAGAAAACAGTTTTGATCATTGTTTCAGTGATTGAAATACATAACCAGAAGTAAACCTATGCTGAAGTAGGAAAGATGCTTGGTAATGGCACCCGACTGACACTTGCTGTCATTGATTTCTTGAGAATTCATATCCTGGTAGAAGTAATGTTACTGCTGCTGTGGCAGAATTTAATTTGTTTTTCCCCTTGTCTACATCTGATAGAAGCTGTTTCTGTCAAGTACTCTTCACCCAGCTCATAGCCCACAACCAATAGCATTCTTCCAAGGAACATTTCATCAAGTTGTGGTTGTGGAAGGTAATCTGTAAGTTCCCCCTTTCCTCCTTCCTCCATTTAGCCTTGCTTTGATTTTCTCATTCTCAGGTAGTCTTAGCGCTTGTCTGCACACACAGTTGTATCACTAAACCTACAACACTGCAGCCCCTTGCATGAATGGTGTTAGAAGGTATGGCTGTATGAACAAATTATCATGGTCTTAAAAGGAGTGAGCCTTGACTCCATGTCCGGTGTTCCATAGTAACTGCCCATGTTCATGTTCTTATTGGATGCATCCACACAAGACATTTACTGCACAGTTGACTAACTGGCTGCGCAGTAAATGTCTTGGTATCTACATATGCTGGGGCGCATGGCAGTATTTACTCTGTAAATACAAGTACAATCCTGCTGCAGAGTAAAAAATGCTGCAGTAGCGCATGTGTAGATGCTGGAGGGGCTGGCTGGGGCATGAAGGTGCTTCAGTGTGGGGGCTGCCTGCCAGCTAGCCCCGCAGTGAACTTCCTTTGTGCCTCAGCCAGCCCCTCTCCAACACGCCAAGCTGAGGGGAGCAGCCCTGGGCTGGCAGGCTGACCCCTGAACCCCCTGCCAGCCGGGGCTGCTTTGACCCAGCTCAACATGTTGTGCATGTATAAACTTCAGGGCTTATTGCTCCCGAGTTAATTGCTTCCAGGCACACATTCAAACAGCTTGCCCAGGAGCAATAAACTCTAGAGCAATAAGTTCCACAATTTATTCATGTGCCATAATTGCAGGTGTAGATGTGCCCCTTCTGAGGTAAGTGAAAGCTAAACCATAGTGACTTACCCCACTTTCACTGAAGATTGAAATATCTTCCACTTATCAAGCAGGAAGGGTGTGTACATGGACAGTTGCTGCACAGCAGATAATTTGTGGTAAATCCCCACTACCTTGTACCCTGTGTGCATACTCATACCTTTTCTAGTATAAAAACTATACATAGGTCAGGCTTTACATTGTACATGTGCTTCTGGTTAAAGCAGCAAATTTCAAGTCCACTTTGCAGCTGACTTAAACTTGGTTTCATACAGTGTTAAACACCTTTCTACCTTCATTTGAAACATGAGAGTTTGTAAAGTGTAAGCCAGTCACTAAGAAAAGAGGCTACTATATAACTGTTCATTTCAGCGCCTTCCTTAGGGAGAATTTGATGATGCCTGCCGCTAGATATAGGATATCAGTATGGCCATTGCTACATTCTCTAGGTGAGGTCCTGTTTTTATCTCCTTTTGAGTTCTGTGTAGTTCACTGAAAAACAATGCAAGTGCTGCAGGCTCCTAGACTATCCCACTCCCTAGATTCCAACTGTGAGCCCATTCGTGGGGCATTACATGTTGAGCTCACTGCTGTTCACAGAAAAGAGATCGTTCTTTCTCTGCAGGAAGTGAGAAGTTGAGAAGCTGATTCATCCTAAAACAGAATATGCTGTACCCTACAAAGGGGAATTCAGAAACAGAGCTATAGGAGATAAACCGCTATCTACAGCATTTCCTAATCTTCTGAAACAGACATTCCACACTTAATGTCTTTCCTAATGTTGTAGATGCAGTCAGAAATGCCCAGTAACATATGGAGTTTTTAAAAAAAACTTGCCCAAAGGAAATAAAATATTGCATTTGTGGCATGTTCTTCCTGCAGCCATACACAAAGCCACAAGGTGCAAGGAGAGACTAAAAATGTAACAGAGAGAATTCAGGAAAAGAATAGCAGGTTTTAAATCCAAGATTTAACACCTATAACAGCACAAAATATTCTATAATAAATTCCCAGGTCTAGTGCCTGAGAGAATGAACACAGATCCACATTGCTGGTTGTCTAATACAGTGGTCTCCAAAGGGGGGAGTGCATGCACCCCAGGAGGTGCGCAAGACGATCCATTGGGGTGCAGGAAGAAAATATTAGAACTTCTATTTATATTTATTTTTTATCTAAAAAATAAGAAAGAAATTAAGCTTTACTAATATTTAATATATGGATTGACACTGGCACCCTCACTTGGTCCATATGTCAGATGGTCATGTGTCACGTACAGTACGCGAGTAGTACATGTATATAATTTATAAATAAATAAATATGCATATATTGGGGGGGTGCTCAAAAATTTTTTACTGATGGGGTGCACGATCAAAAAAGTTTGGAGACCACTGGTCTAATAAGTCTGTCCTTTAACTGCTAAAAGTCATTCAAATGTCTGAGTGAAGTGTTTGTTTTGGTGTAAAAGTTGTAAGAAAAAAGTGATACCATATTAAGGGGAATAAAGCATGGTTCCCTCTGCATGAGTGAATGATGGAAAAAGAGTGAGAGAGTTTTTGCAGTGCATGTACCCAGCAGGCAAGCAGTCTGAATTAATGACTCCTTTCTAAGCTTTGCTGATGAAGTTGGCAGAGTTGGTCAGCATAGGGCCATGTGCATGGCACTATATATAGTATTTCTGCTGTGAGTTCTGCAGGTGGTACTGGATCCAGCATATACTCCACTTTTAATAGCAGGAAAAGCAAGGCCGTGATTCTCAAACAGGGTGACTAGGTCCTTTTAAAGGTGTCATGAAGTGCCAGTCAAAATTAGCCCTGTTAAGTATACAAACACCTATGCATGGTTCACAAGATGAACCCAGAGATTTCAAATAGAAATACACAATATCATTCTGACCTGTTGTGGTCTTTCTGAGTTCTTCATAACAGAAAAATTGCAGTATTACTTTCCATAGTCAGAAATGACTGAACAGTTATGAACTGGAATTTTCCAAGTGGTGGCTTGAACC